GATATACAGGGCGTTCTATTTTAAAAAATGGAATTTTGGTCTGTAGCACCTACACCAAACACCCTGTATATTTAAAAAGTATATCAAAATATAGCTCTCATGAACTCCTAAAACTTTTGTATGAAACATTTTTGTGTATCTCCTTCAACAAACCACATATTGCCTGTCACATAGAATGTGGGACACCCGGTATAGACAGTTGACTAAGTTTTTGAATTTCATCAATTCTCTTCACCCTTCTATCATATTTACAATGGAGATGGAAAAAAACGACTGTATAAATTTTTTGGACTTGGCAATAACAAATGGCATATACAGATGTTATCATTCATAATTTGTTCACCCACCCATATCAGCACAAAGTAGCAGCTTTCAACAGTATGATCCACAGACTGATAAATGTGCCCTTGTCAGAGGCGAATTTCAATAAAGAACTGAACATAATAAAACAAATAGTCGACCACAATGATTACGATAGCAGTCTAATACATTCTTTATTATCAAAAAAGCTACACACCCAAGCTTTGAAAGAAGTTTACTCGATTCAAAGAGAAAAGGATAAAAGTTATAGAACCTCAACCTACTTAGGCCAACCCACTACAAATATTTCAGATTTTCTGCACAACAAAGTTGTAAATATTGCTTTCGAATACAACAACAACTTAGGTATGCACATTAAGAATAAAGAAAAAGTTAAGTTTCAGAAAAACCGGGAGTGTATAAAGTATCATGTAGGTCATGTCCGATGTTTTATATAGTTCAAACTGGAAGTACGTTCAAAGCCCGCATGAAGGAACACAAAAATATTTTCCAGAATGGAAAAATACATTCCACATAAGCCACGCATTTAATCACAGAGGGAGCATGAATACAAGCCCCTCCATTTCCAGAAGAAAGGTTTGAACTTGACCTGTTGGAGAGTATGGAAATAAACAAATTCAAAATATCTCAGTATCTCATGAATGATCAAGCTGAATTGAATAATTGTTGAATATATTTGAGTTGAGTATATTTACGGTACCTTCAAAAAATGTATTCATATAGTTAATGAATGCATACCTGACCTTTTCAAGTAGATTAATTCATTAGAAAGTAGGCATACGAGTAGGTAATATGTTAGAGCATAAAATGGTTGTAACTTAGAAGTAGCTTTTAGTTTATGCTTGAGGAAGCAATTGTATAACGAAACATGTGTCGCGGTTTTTGTAAAACCCTTTATAGTGAATATCATACCATGAACTGTATTAATTAGTTTTAATATGGATTTTCATCAAGTATTGGCCAGTTATATTCAAGTTTTAAAATTTCTCAGCTAATACTTTTGAAAACTGTCAATTATGATGTACGAGGTCTGTTAAAAAAGTAAGGTGAATTTTCATTTACTTCCAAAGATATTTATTTATTTATCAATTTATATTGTGTCCCTTTGTGGTGATTACCTATCATATTTTATGAAAAACAGTTCTTATAAATGTGTGTCCCTACTTATTTCGTTTCCGAGTAACGGGTTCCACTAAAAATATTGTTATTCAATCAACGGTGATCCAGATTTGCTTAAAAGGGTCATAAACTGGTGGCGTATCATGGGTACATGGTTATGACCATGACCATGTCCAACGTCCCAACAAGAGCCCAGTAGAGCCAAAATCACAAAAAGCACGCCAAGTTTGATCAACTGTCAAGGTTTTGCTCACTGTTTTCTTCGATTACCGTGGCGTAGTGCATCTGGAGTTCTGTCTGTCTGTAGAGTAGGAAGGGTGAGTGTAGGCTCACAGCACTTAGGCCACATGTGACCCATTGTACATCTTCCCGAGGAGTTGTCCTCATAGGTCATCGTCCATCCTGTCCTTTCCAGGAAGGTGGACAGGTCGCTGGGAGACATCTCCTTTATATCGGCAGGTGTAGGCCAAGACTCGCCGAACACACACTCTCTTATTGACCATAACTCCGGACACTCGCATAGGACATGCCTGACAGTTTCATCTTCCTGTTCACACATATTGCATAGAGGTGTGTCCACTAACCCATTGATATGGAGGTGTTTTTCCTGGTCGTCGCCAGATATTTCTTCGGCGCCAGCTTCCCAGCGTCGCCCACGGTGATCCTGGCAAGATAACACCCTTTGATTCCATCCCATCTTTAGGGATTGAGCATAGGGGTAACATTTGACTAGTTCCGCAATTGTTGAAGTCATCAGGCCGTGGGTGCCACTGGGTCCTAAAATTCTTAGTCCGGCCGCTTTCTTAGCTAAAGAGTCGGCAATGCGATAACCTTTACTCCTGTCGTGCCCTTTAACCCACCTCAGGATAATGTTATTATCTACCGAGGCTTTGACTAAATCTTGGTGGCACTCTAGTACTAGCCCGGATGTAACACGTTGTCTGTTCAAGCCTGATAGGGCTTGTCTACTAGCAGTGCAGATTGTTATGTTTTTGCCAGAAATTCCTTTTCTGGTTATTTCTTTTGTGGCGATTGAGATACCAGCCAGTGTCTCATTCCCCACTCAATTCTTAGGCTTAGTGATCTGGAGTAAACTCCACATCCTGAGCCTTCTTTGGTTTCTGAGCCGTCTGTATACAGTGTCACACATAAAGTCCGCATCAAATGGGATTTTTTTTTGTTCATCTCTTCAAGCAACTTTTGATATCTCCATTAGGTTGTGCTTTAAAAATGATGCCAAATGACATGCATATGACCGATCAAGTGATTTTTCTTTCCTGTCCAATTGACATTTTTTCCAAAAAATGTTCAGAAAAGCAGTTATTGCTCGAAATTTCGAAAATTGGTAAAGAGAAAAGATAATTGTTTTTTTGTCATTTTTTACCCATATACCAATTTTTAGCTCTCTAGTACAAATTTAGTTTTTTTACAGTTTTTCGAAAATTTGACATTTGCCGATTTCTCAAATTTAGCCAAACCTCAACAAAGTTACTAACTTATCTTTCCAACGCATTTTTATTACCAATTGCAATTCTAAATACAACTTATTTCGCAAAAATTTAAAACACCAGAAAAAATTATGCCAAAAATGATGCAAAGTTGATACAGTTTTTAAAAACAGATAAATATTTCACTTTATTTCTACTTTTTGCGAAATAGCTTGATACATAAGCATAATTAAAAAACAATATCAATGAAAAGTCAATAATTTATTCTTTACTGCACTTTTCAAACAGTTAAACTTTGATTTACTAATTACGAAAAATTATAACGCAATTAAACTAAGGGAAGAAATTATACGAAAGTAATTTCACATTTACTAAATATCTTTTATGAGGTATGAATGAACAAAATTACTTCAGAAATCAATTTAGATTTTGTTGCCTAGAAAACTAAACCGTAAAAAATTCTAAAATAAAGTTATAATTTAAATTGAAAACACTAAATCATATGCCTAAACCATGTAAATACCAATAGAAATACAAAATAAAAAGTCACATTTCGGTGTGCCTTCCACCACGTTCAATGCAATCAATTGTCCTTTTTAAAACATCTTTAACTGCATTCTTTATACTACGGGGTTTCGTGCTTACAACACATTCTCGAATAACTGCCTCTAAATGGTTTATATCTCGAAAAGGTCTTTGCTTAAACACCTTTTGTTTTAAGTAACCCCACAAAAAGAAATCTAGTGGGGTTATATCAGGAGGTCTAGGCGCCCAAAATTGTTCCATATTCCGACTGATTACTTTGCCCCTAAATATTTCCAAAAGACGCTCTTTAACCACCCTTGTAGTATGAATAGGTGAATCATCACACTGATAACAAACAACATTTCTTACTTGAAGGGGCATATTATACAAAACTTCAGATAGTTCGGTATTCACAAAGTGTAGGTAGTCCACAGAATTTAAATTATGTCTAAAAAAGTGTGGTCCTATAATTTGATCGTTTAATATGCCACATCATACATTCGTCTTAAACGAATATATATTGATCTCGACATTCGATTACGAAATGTGGGTTTTCTTTTGCCCACCACCTGATGCAGTTTTGCGAGCTCACAACGCCATTTGAAGAGAAGGTCGCTTCATCTGTCCATAAAATTTGATAAGGAAGATGATAATTTTCTTCTTCTTCCCCTTGAAACCAAAAAGAAAAATACAAGCGCATATCGAAGTCCCTTTCTTTTAATGTATTGATAAATTTCGGTTTATGAAGGCGTAAATTTATTTTTGTGTAAAATACGTCGCACACTCTCTCGGTTCTATCTGCAATATCTTAAATATTTATTTTTTTATGTTCTACGACATCCAAACATATTTCAAATTCCACTTCTTCAGTATGTCTAGAAGGCTGATGTGCTTTTCTAAAATTACTCTCAACCGAGCCAGTAGATTTAAACTTAGCTATTATCCTACTAACTGTTGACTGATGAATATTTCTTGCAGGATGTCTGGCATTGAAAATATCAGCTATACTCGCCGCATATTAAAACGATTTTAATTTTCTCTTGAAGATTCAGCATTTTTAACAACACACTAGACAACGAATAAACTATTTTAAATCTAAAACTGATAAACACTATTTTGAGTTATTCAACAAATGTCATATGACAATAAAATATTTTGCTTATTCAGTTCAGTTCCATTGTTTCCACAGTACCCTTAGTTCAATTTCGTTGTAATTTTTCGTAATTAGTAAATCAAAGTTTAACTGTTTGAAAAGTGCAGTTAAAAATAAATTATTGACTTTTCATTGAAATTGTTTTTTAATTATGCTTATGTATCAAGCTATTTCGCAAAAAGTAGAAATAAAGTGAAATATTTATCTGTTTTTAAAAACTGTATCAACTTTGCATCATTTTTGGCATAATTTTTTCTGGTGTTTTAAATCTATGCGAAATAAGTTGTATTTAGAATTGCAATTGGTAATAAAAATGCGTTGGAAAGATAAGTTAGGCATGAAGCACTAACTTTGTTGAGGTTTGGCTAAATTTGAGAAATCGGCAAATGTCAAATTTTCGAAAAACTGTAAAAAAACTAAATTTGTACTAGAGAGCTAAAAATTGGTATATGGGTAAAAAATGAAGAAACAATCATCTTTTCTCTTTACCGATTTTCGAAATTTCGAGCAATAACTGCTTTTCTGAACATTGTTTGGAAAAAATGTCAAATTGGACAGGGAAGAAAAATCACTTGATGGGTTATATGCATGTCATTTGGCATCATTTTCAAAGCACAACCTAATGGAGATATCAAAAGTTGCTTGAAGAGATGAACAAAAAAAAATCCCTTTTGATGCGGACTTTATGTGTGACACTGTATATGCGAATTGAATTTGTAGCATCTAACTTTGTGTTCTGTTTTATTTGTATTTTGTAGAGTTTATTAAACACAAACCTGAGTTCAATTGCATCATGGTACATGGATATGACCATGTCCAAGCGTCCCAACGGAAGAGTCCAGAGGAGCCAAGACAACAAAAAGCACGCCAAGTTCGATCAAAAGTGAAGGTTTTGCTCACAAAAAAGTCTAACGGAGTCAAATCACATCACCTCCACGTGACATGACCTTGCCCTCAAATCGCTCGTGCAGAATATCCACATTGCCAATGTGGCATAAGCTGTATGTGGCACGTGGCGCCGTCCTGTTGAAACCACATGTCGCTGGTGTCCAGATCATCCAATTAAAGCCAAAAGAAGTTGGTAATCCTCGAGCTACAGTGCTCGCCGTTGACAGTGATGGTCTGGCCAACATCGTTCTCGAAGAAATAATGACCCATGACGCCGCCATTCCAAAATACACACCAAACAGTAACTTTTCGGGAAGCATTGGACGCTTTCAGATCTCATGTGGACTGGTATCACCCCAAATTCGCCAATTTTGTTTGTTAACGTACCCTCATCCAGAAATGGGCCTCACCTACGGCCTGATGACTTTGACCATTGCGGAACTAGCCAAACGTCACACCCACTATCACTATGGGCTCCAGAGCCCATTAAGCGAACACACGTCGTTGTCTATGGTCGTTTGCTCTCAGTTCCTGGGTCAGTTGAATTTTGTACGGGTGCCGGCCTAAGTTGTGGCCTGCGCAAAATTCGCCAACTTGTGGTCTGCGAGTTCTTGTGAGCGAAGCGCAAACAAGTGCCTCAGATTCTCCTGCTCACTCTCACAGACAGCGTTGTTTTCGACAGATCTTGCGTTTCGTCCATGTACGGGTGTTGGTCGATCGTTTACTTGACCAGTGGATTCAAACTCATCTACCACATTGCAAATATGCCTCTCGGTAGGTCGATTAGGATTACTGAAAAATGGACGAAACGCGCGGTACGTTGCCCTAACAGAACACCTATTTTGATGAAACAATTTTATTATCTGCACGTGTTGTTAAAAGCCATATTTTAAACTGACTGTTTTGTATTAGTTTCAAAGGTTTCGAATAACTTTGACGCGCTTAATAAAAACATCCTTAGCTGTTGTTATTCTCTTCTACATTGAAATTTCTCCGGAAACGTTAAATGTCAACACTATTTTTTTAGCCTTTTGAGATACCCTGTACTTCTATCAGTTCAAATGAAACAAAAATAAAGATCATTCACGAACTTTATTACCAGGAAATCGGCGATGAAACGAGGCGAAAAAACCGTTTATCTTGTTGTGTCAATTAGAAAAGACGTGAGTGTGTACAATTTTGTACAAAATATGGAATACTTACGAGACGGCTGCATTTGTCTTGGGGAATCCAGCAAGAACCAAAACAACGAATACTGCACTTGGTACCATTTTGGAATCTGCAAAAAACTATCATGTCAGAAAAACATTCGAATAATGAAATATAGCTTAGCTTTGATTGGAATAATCTTGATAGTTGATGCCAATGGTGTCAACAAATTGAAAAAATGATAAATTATCTACTTGACCTTTTGCTTGTACACGAGTATGTTCGAAAATCCACAAGATTTAGACAGAAGGAAGGAATATCCAGATTAGAAATTCATTGGATATTGCAACGAAGATGTAGTGTTGTTGGGTTTTCATTTATTTGAATGGTTCGTAATGAACAGGATGTGTTTTTGAGTGTTCACTGCTCTGAACGGAGTTAAAAAAATGTTAATAAGTATTACATCAGTGTTTCCTTCAATAATTCGCGTGATAAATGTATTGAAAACACCGAAGCACGTTTCGCTAACCAAGTTAGCATCATCAGAAGGTGAATAAAACTCAATTCTTACGACTAAGTTAGAGCCGGTTGGTTATACAGTGCATTTCTTTAATGCCTCTTCCCGTTTTATTTTTTGAACAGATCAACTAAAAAAATTGAAATTTTGGATAATGAAGTTGATGCGTGAATACTTTATTTTGAAGTGAAATTGACAAATGAAACTTTCAAGATGGCGACTGGGCGCCATCTGGGAAAAAAATTAAACAGAAAGGGGGATCTGGTGACACATCTTTTTGAAGCTCCTGATAAATACTTTACAACCCTAGAATATGAAGTCAATATCTTTATCTACTACAAAATGGCGGAACATTTAATAATTTCCTGGAGACAATCCCAGTAATATCGATAAGGTTTGTTAAGTTATTTTTTGTTTATAAAAACGACAAAAAATGGCAGTACGACAATGAACATCATTGTTCATTTAGTTTTCGGTTTTACTAGTAGAAAGGTACCATGTCAACAATCTCCAAAATGGTCAATTCTTGCCCATTGGAAGAAAAAATTAACAACAATTCTGCGAAATCATGACGGAAACCATTGCAAGGCATCCTACCTATCTCCACAATATTTGTTTTAGTGACGAATGTAGATTTGTTTTTAAACGGCAATGTTCACAGACACCAACCCTCACGTATTCCGAAAAACTCATACCCAATATCCAGAAAAAAATTAACGTTTGGGCAGGAATATTGGGAAACCATATTGTTGGATCTCTATTTATTGATCAAAATTTGACAAGGGAACTGTATTTGAATATGCTGGAAACTACTGTTGACCCTCTCATCACTGAAATCGTCGAAGCGAATCCTAATGAATTCGATATGGATATTATATTCCAACAAGATGGAGCACCACCGCATCACCCCAAACAAGTAAGAAACTATTTGGATACTACTTTTCCTGGTCGTTGGATTGGTCGTCGAGGTCCTATAGAATGGCCAGCCCGCTCGCCAGATTTGACACCTTTACTGTGTTCGAAAATGGTCTGCGTGAAATATCGGATAGGCTGTTCATATGTCAAGAAGTTCAAGGCCACCGTTTCGAGCATCTTCTGAACTGACCTCAAGTTTTTGTTACCTCATATTATGTAGTTAAATGTCAATGTAGTCAGGCAATTATTAAAAGTTTCGCCATTTTGTAGTAGTGGAAGATATTGACATTATATTCTGGGGTTGTGAAGCATTTGTCAGGAGCTTCAAAAAGATGTGTCATAAGACCCCCTTTCCATTTAATTTTTTCCCAGATGGCCCCTAGTGGCCATCTTGGAAGTTTCATCTGTCGATTTCACTTCAAAATAAAGTATTCATGCATTAATTTCATTATCCTAAATTTTTTTTTTTTGAGTTGATCCGTTCAAAAAATAAAAGAGGGGGGGCATTAAAAAATGCACTTTATACATCTTCGGTAATGTCGTTATTGTGATAATTCCTCATTGCTACTCGTTAGGAAACCTGATATTTCCCTGGATTCTACTTCTATTCATTACGCAAGAGAGTAGACATCGGACTATTTGGAATAAGAACTTTGATTTTGATTTTCAAGCTTTCGAAGGCATCTAAAAGCATGTTGTCAAGTATCAGTCTCAACAACTTCGAGCAATTCTCATTTATTCTGTGGCCGTTATCTAAGGTATGTTGATTGGCACTAAATTCATCTGATCAACAAAAACAAATATGTTCTTTGAAACCAGTCACTATATTCAGCGTAGCTTGACCAACATACTTTGTCATAATCCTCCCAGGTTATGAGATGCACTGAAAAGTTCGTAGGCTAACACACAGATGGCGCTCCCAATATTGAATTCATATGACTTTCAGTTAACCCTAACCTTCAAGAGACACTTGTACAAATTTCACAGCTGTCGGACTATTAGTTTGTGGGATCGAACATTTTGAGTGAAGCAACTTTTGTTAGTTTGAAGAAAATTGATAAAAAGGAATTTCGTTACTAATCTCCTGATGATGTTACCTTGGTTAGCGAAACGCGCATCAAGAGTTTTGTTCTGGTATGGGAGAAGAGTATTCACGCCAGAACAATGTCCAATTTCACCCATCAAGTTGTTATTTTAAGGAAAGAACAAAAAATATAGTATCGATCAAGACTGTTCTACTTTTATCTACTTTTTGATATCAAAACAAATTGGTTTGTTCTGTTTGTGGTCATCAATTGTTACTCATAATGAATCAAAGTCATACAGAATGAAAATTCCCTGACTCGTGGGAACATTTCAAGTATAACCCCAGTCAGAAAAATTTAAAATATATCGAAATGTGGAGAGTTTTGACCGCTTGATTTATTATCTCCGCATGAAAAAGTTGAACAACAGATTGTGGATCATATTGACACTCAAAATATACTTTCAAACTCTCAAGCTGGAAATTGCATTACAAACTTTATCCTATGACTAGAAGTCATCGATTGATGAAGGCAAAGTTGTTGGAATTTTATTTTTAGATATCAAAAGAGCTTTCAAAATTGTTAGTGGAGAAATTCTCCAAAAAAATTGTATAGAATGGGATTCATCGGTTTGAATCCTATATCGAGAACAGATTACAAGTGGCAAAATTCAATGATTAAATCTCAAATAATATTTGAACAAAACACGGTGTTCCACAAGGGTCTGTTTTGGGGTCCCTATTATGCGTTCTATAGATGAATGATATTTGTAAAATAATAAAAAATAATAAAAAACAACTGTTTGCAGATGAAACATTGTTTTGTGTAACATGAAATTCGGTGTATGAAATTATTGATTCTCTGCAAAGGGATATCAGATTTATTAGTTGCAAGTAAATTAAAGTGTATGTTACTTTCACACCGCCAAACACAAAATTTTAGATTTCCCTTTATTGAAAAAGAAAAAATTGAAATCATTTCCAAATTTAAATATTGAAGTGTATTTTTAGATAGCTCACTAAATTTTAATGAACATATAACAAAGTTGGACGTCCATCAATAATAGAAAAAACTTGACAAATGAAACAAAATTCAAAATGTTTAGATCTGTTTTAAGGTGGTTGACAATGTTTCATGATGAATTTCATTAGTTCAAATTTCCATTGTCTAATATAATATAAATTGATTTGAAATCCCTGAAAGAACCTGTGAAAAAAATTAAAAAAAGAATAGCTGAAAATAACAATTTTATTTTGTTTAAATCTGTTTTTTCGTTAATCAGCTGTCGCCTCCATACTAACGACAACTCTCAGAAATTGAGAAACTTGTGCGAGCTAAGGACTTACGAGGTCTTACCTATTAACGTGTGATTCCTTAACGGATATTAAGCAAAAACCCTGAAATGAAATTACAGTGAAATAAAACACAAGTAGAAATAGAACAATTTAACAAAAATAAAATAAAAAATTAAGAGATTTCAAGACAAGTTACTTCACGACGTTTTGATTGTTAGTCATCACCTGAAGACGATTGACTTGGTATCTCTTAATTTTTAATTTAATTTTTTTATTTTTGTTTAATTGTTCTATTTTCACTTGTATTTTATTTCACTGTTATTTCATTTCAGGGTGTTTTTGCTTTATATAATTGTTATTTAATTTTTTTTTATTGGTTCCTTCAGGGATTTCAAATCAGTTCATAAAATATTAGACAATGGAAGTCCGAACTAATAAAATGCAGCGTTTAGATCTATCTTAAGACAGATTTCCACCAAACGGACTCACTTGCGACTAGTTTCGTTTTCAAAAACTGAAACAAGAGACTTTTGTTTTAGTTTCTTAAAAGAACAGACGAAAACTAGTGAGTCGCGTGTTTTCTTTTAAAATGTTTCTTATCGTATCCACCACAAGAACCGTTTTTATCATTCCTTCCCTAGACTACTTTTTATAATGGGCTGCAGTTTTTTTATAATTGAATCTTTTGAACGAAAGCAAAAAAAAACGAAAATTCTAGATGAAATTATTGTTGATGAATAATGACATAGAAATTAATGGAACTGAGATCATCGTTTCGTAATTTTGTAAGAATGTACAATCACGAATTTGAGAACTCGTTAAAAACAAATTACAGATATATCTGAATAGTTGCTTGTTGTTTTCGCCGACCGTTTCCATATGGCGAGGTCTGTTTACAAATACACAGACAAAACACCGAAACCTTTTGATCTTTCCGCCTACCGACGGCACATTTCACTGTTGACAGAAACATCGCCCGCGACGCGAAGTCTTTAAAAAAAGATTTTTATTTTGAAAACTCCAGTTTGTTTTCGAAACTTAAACAAGTTTTTTGTTTCTGTTTTTGAAAACGAAACTAGTCGCAAGCGAGTCCGTTTGGCGGAAACCCATCTCAAGACGGAGAATATATCTAAATACGTTCAATACATTCATAAATGATTTCCTTAATATCTCAAAGATAAAATACAGTTCTCAACTAACAGACATCCACGTAATACAAGAAATTCAACTGAGAACTGTCCAAAACACATATTTTGGGCAAAATCAATTATTGGCAAAATTATGATAAGTTGCCATTATAAACAAAAAATTGTGAAAATTTTGTTAAATTCAGAAGAATGTGTTGAAGTTTTGTGAAAAATAGCATTGATTTCTGAGTTATGACTTTTAACTTTTTTAAAATATTTATTCTCGTTTTATTTTTCCTGAAAAATATAATTTCATTGGGCATTTTATTAACCAATTATAATGATCTGTTCGTATTGTATTTAAATGTGAAAAAATCAGCTTTTCCATTAGACAGTGCCACGAGAAAAATTTTAATAAATGATTTTATTTCAATAAACGAATGAGCCTATATTGTTTCTATTTTTTGAGGAACAAGTTGAAACTTACCTAAATGATAATATATTTAGCTTTTGATATCACATACTCGCGTCAGCTTTTAGAGCTATTTCTTGTTGACGCTTTCACGACGGTACTGCAAACACTAATACCATTGAACAGAAATAAAGAAGTGGATCTGGATCTGGTACACTCAACTGCAGATGTTCCGTTTTATTTCAATTCAGTTTGTGCTATATAGGCAACTATTTTTACTTCGTCTTTGGGATGCTGCAATGCGGAGATTGTTGAAAAGTGCATGAGAAATGGTAGAACGAAAATAACTGTAATATTTTTATAGTTTCGTAGAGGAAAATGAGGAAAAAATGGAAAGATTCAGAAAACGATTTTACCACTACAGTTTCCTCGCATTTATTAGTGTCTTCCCTAAATCGCTGGAATTGATATTTGGAAAACCTTTTCTGCGTTTAAGTTCTCCGGTGTGTACACATACGAGGGTGGTTTGAAAAGTTTCCGATCTCAAAATGAAGATAACAGCACTAGTAAATTATTGCTAGTCAATTTCGTTGTTCAGCTGTTGACAGTCAATCGCCAGTTTCGGCCATTTTGGACGCGCAGTTGTTATATAACAGCTGTCATTAAATATGCCTACGCAAATCACAGATGAGTTGGATTCTGTGTATGGGGACTCTGCATGATCATTTACGACAGTGGAGTTTTGGGCATCGACGAAAACATTGCCAAAGTTCTCCAAATGGTGATAGACGACCGCCGAACTAAAATGAGTCAGCAGAGGTTATGAATATGTCAAAGAACGTCTTTGGCACATATTAAATCAACATTTTATGCATGAGAAAGCTATAGATGAACTGTAGATGAAACTTGGATACCCCATTATACGCCCGAATTCAAAATACAGTCCAAACAGTGGACTGCTCCAAAAAAAGCAAAAACTGTTTTTTCGCCTGGCAAAATGATTGCGACGGTTTCTTGATATAGTCATAGAGTTATTCTAATCGATTATCTTCTAAAAAGGAACAACCATCACAGATATATTGTGATGCTCCTTGGTTGTAAGAGCTCATTGTCTAGCTTGATCTCTTTGATGAGACTCCATAGTCTTGACACTGACCCCTTCATATAGCTGACAGCCTCTGGTTTCTCTTCCCCGCATCTTGCGTGTCTCAGCCTTGCTCTCGCTTCGCATTCACAGAACACATGCAGTGCGGGTTCTTCCTCTTCTTGGCAGAATCTGCGTTGGGTTTCTTCTATCAGACCCCATGTTGCTTATATGTTTCCTGAGTCGGCTATGCCTCTTTAGTAGACCCACCACTACCCTTACGGTTGTGGTTTAGCAGGCGGCACTGTCTTATCCACGGGCATTCCTAGTATTGGATCTGCCTTCAGTTTATTGTACAGTTTCAAGTATTCTGCAGATCACCCTCGTATGTATATTATTATTTTTTAGTATCGTGGAATGAAAAGCAAAATTAAGAGTGTCCTCACCATTGAGCATGTTTAGTGTGCCCAACAGCTGAACAGATTTGAATATTAATTTCCCTGGAAGACCGATAAAACAGCTTTGTTCCGTGAATTCCCGAACGACCAATGATTGAATTAGTCCATTGCATGATAAACGAAGAATTAGGTGTGCCCGAACTAACGAGGGGGTGCGGCTCTAAGGCCTGTGTGTCCTAATTTACACCCCCATAGTTCCGATTATTTGACGATATCGAGTGTCTTGTGTTGTATACTTATAAGAAATTGATGATGGCAACGTTTTACGCAAATCCCGATGAAGAAAATGAACTTTGGATAGAAACCGCTATTCAAGGATCTCGTTTCAGGATTTGGCACTATATTTTCTTTTGTTTTTCCGCCTTCACGATAATAGGTGAGTCGAAATTGCAACTTTTTCGTGCAACTTTAACGAGAGTTACATATAAGAATAATTACACCTAGATTGTAATTTCATGGCTGTCTCTTTCATCACTGTCGGTAAGAAGCATGTTATCGCTGTTAAAGTCTATTTTGGTGGCCTACCTTTAATTTTTTCCATAATTTTATCGGTTTAAAGGAAACAATCACCATCAAATTATTATTAGACAATGGAAGTCCGAACATGTAACATTCACGATGAAACATTGTCGACCACATTCAAATAAATGCAGCTTTTTCATTTCTTATTCTTGATACAAATTTTTATTGCAGTGGTTTTGGTGTGCTGTTGCGTTAAAATCCGAGTTCCAAGAACCAAGCAAGAAATTGAAGCGGACTACTGTCGTAAAAAGCTGGCTGAAAAATTTCGCGTTAGGCTGAAATTGATTCAGAATCAGGACATGGATGCCTTAGATCTAGAAAGAGGTGAACATCCACGCAGAACGTCAGACTAAGTATCAGCTTTTCAATTGTTTTACATTAATTGTATCAATAATGCCCTGCTTAAGATGCCTATACACTGGTGTAGCGACACATGTAGAATTTTCATGCAATCTGTCGATTTTATCTATGTGGCCCGCTTTTTAAAAAGAACGCTAGATACCGTTAATATCGCTGTTGCGTATTCTACAACGTGATGACATTGTCTAAAAGACAATGGTGATGATGTTAATATTTAAAATATTATTTCAGGTTACGTATGCAAACGCATGGAAGTTTTCCGATTTCTTTGAACTTTTTCGTGAATCTATAAGAATCTAGATATATTAACAGTGTCTGTCGGTTTGTGTGCGTTGCGAACAAATGTTATTTTTATGTGAATATTGTAATGGAAATATTTTTATTACGGCAAGTGAACACGTTTGCTCTACTGTTAATCCATTGGACAGAAATCAAAATATTTTACGAATAATTAATGTTATATCTGTGGATGCTCTTTCGTGACATTAGCTGCATTTCTTTAGGATTAGTCTATACCAGATTTGTTTGTCTTTCCTAAAGTTATTCGCTTTCTCTGCTCGACCAAAATTTGTGGAATACCTACCTGATATTAGTGAGAACAAAACGCACCTATCAATACATCGATTGGTCAATAGTGAGACAGGAATTTTTTGAGAAATCATTCCTACCTTTTATTTTGATTTACAAACTTGTATTGCCCTCTCATCAATATTGAAATGCACATTTTCTTCTTGCTTATTGTTAGTTTTTTCTTTTTTTTTACCTTTTATTTTGATTTACAAACTTGTATTGCCCTCTCATCAATATTGAAATGCACATTTTCTTCTTGCTTAATTTTAGTTTTTTCTTTTTTTTTATTTATTTTATTATACATTATATAACACACCTTATATCAGTCTGTAGCCACGACACAAGCCTAGCTTAGGTGGCTACAGATTGTGTAATATACCGGGTGTCAACGAATCTATTAGACAAGTCATAATTTCTAGACTATTAGGAGAATTGAAATGAGATTTGGTATAGTTGAATGGTATGTGGAGAGGAATGTTTTCACATATTTTTCACTTTCCGGTCACTTCCGGTTTCAGCGGAAATGGCTCCGGTTCTGTAATATTTCACAAATTGTCCTTACCTCAGGTACCTCATACAACGTTATATTTGAATCATCACTTTTGGAACATCCACATGAAAAGAAATATCGCCCCATTTTATTCAGTACTCTGAATTAACTAACAACAGAACGAATCTATTACCAGCAAAGATAATTTTTCAAATTTGATACAATGTCAACGAACGTCAAGTTCTGCGATTTACTGGCGATAATCTCACTTATTTGTTTCTGAGAAAAAAATAATAATGCAACATCGTTTATCATGCATCGATTGATGACTAAAATTCTCTAGAAATATTGACCATTGGCACCATCTTACGACGCGGCGTCAGGACTGATCCACTCGGTCTTCAATTTCTGAAACAAAAATGCATTTACCAGTGTATGTACATTTCAACATTTCAATTCTCATTTGTATTGAATATTGAAATTCGAACAGAAGATAAGTATTAATATTTGAATGAAAATTCGAACAATTACTTAATACTTACTTTGGGAGCCTCTTTTATCTTTGATATTTGTGGATCCCATAAATGGCAGGTTGCAACAGAATTTTTTGGCTTTGGTTCGCAGTGATAGCTGCAGAGAAAGACAAAAAGCGATTTCATACTCGGTGGTGAACGTTGAAGTTTGCACCAGAACGTCTCGTTTATCTTAGACAAGGAAGGTACGAGTTTTCTCTGTCGAATATTCTTGTACATAGATTGATGATGGTTTGTTATTCAATTCGAAATGCCTAGACATTTGTCAGAGTGATTTTTCTAGAAAAAATGATTATAAATGGAGGTATATTTCCAGGTAGTACAATAAAATGTTCAATTCAAATGTTGCTACTTTATTTCAGCTCTTCACATTATTCAAGAGGACTACATTAACGAGAGTAGAAACTGCCAGCTTGTTCCATCAGCTCCAACTGTTTTTAATATCAGTTCAGATAACATGGCCCAACCTCAGCAACCATCGAAGAATAGTCCGCAAACTGCTTCAGTAGCCAAGCTTACCTTGCAGAAGTGAATAATAAAATCATCGATAGTAAAATAAACACATCGGAAAAGTCTAGGGATATTTTTAAAAATGGTAACAATTTTTTTTAGATCGCTTTTGGGAAAAAAAAGTTGACGGGTGATTATTAAACGAATGTAACTTACAACAAAATTTATTAAATGGTCAAAAATACTGAGTGCGCATATAAGCAAAACTAAAAAAAAATATGGCTCTTCTTTGGCACCCCG